CGGTTTCCCCCAGTTTCCTACCCAGGATGCCCCAAAACCCCCAAAATCCCCCCCAAAATCCCTCCCCAACCCCAAATCCCCCCTCTGGGACCCCTCCCCAAATTTTTGGGGTCCCCCCCGGGTTTGGGGGGGGTCTTACCTGGGGGCTGCCCCCCCCCTGCCAACAGGGGGTGCCGGAAGTTGAAGCCAGGGGAGCTGTGGGGGGGTTAAAGAACCCCAAAAATCAAAAAAAATTCACCCAAAAAAGCAAAATTTCACCCCCCAAAATGTGGAACCCACCCCAAACCCCAAAATCCCTTCAAAACAACCCCAAAATGTTCTCCCAAAGCTCAGAATTCCCCCTGAAAAACCTCAAAATCCCCTCAAAAAAAACCCCAAAATGTTCTCCCAAAGCTCAGAATTCCCCCTGCAAAACCCCAAAATCCCCCTCAAAAAACCCAAAATTTCTCCTAAAAACCCCAAAATCCCTCCCTCAAAAACCCCCAAACTTTAAAAAAAAAAAAACCAAAATCCCCTCAAAAATACCCCAAATCCCTCCCTGGAAAAACCCCAAACCCTCCTAAAATACCCCAAAATCCCCTCAAAAAAACCCAAAATTTTCCTTAAAAATCCCCAAAATCCCTCCCTCAAAAAATCAAAAATCTCCCTAAAATACCCCAAATTCCCCTCAAAAAAAACCCCAAATCCCTAAAAAACTCCAAAATCCCCCTCAAAACAAATCAAAATCCCTCCCTCAAAAAAACCCCCAAAATCCCCTCCCCCAAAAAACCAAAAATTTCCACAAAAAAACCCGAAAATCCCTCCCTAAAATATCCCAAAATCCCTCAAAAAACCCCAAATCCCCCCAAAAGATCCCAAATTCCCCTCAAAAAAACCCCCAAATTCCTTTCTCAAAACCCAAAACCCCCTCCCCAAAAAAACCCAAAGCCCCAAAATCCCCCCAAATTTCCCAAAATCCCCAAAAATCCCCCAAAATCCCTCCAAAATCTCCCAAAATCCCCCCAAAATTCTCCAAAATCCCCCAAAATCTCCCAAAATCCCCCAAAATTCCCAAAAATCCCCCAAAATCCTCACCTGCTTTTGGGGTTCGGGGCTTCACCGGCAGCTGGAGATTCTGGGGGGGGGAGGGGAAACATTTTAAGGTGCCCCCCCCCAAATTACCTGACCCCCCCCAAATTTTAGGGTCCCTGCAGTCCCTCCCCCTCCATTTCAGGCTCTCAATTTTTGGGACCCCTCCCCATTTTTGGAGTTTTTCCCCCCAAAATTTTGAAGTTCCCTCTACCTGAACCCCCCCTCCCCGAATTTGGGGTCTCCCCCTCCCCAAATTTGGGGTCCCCCCCGTACCTGAGCCCCCCTCCAGCTGCCGGGGGGTGACAAAGGGGGGTCTCAGCACCTCGAAGCACAGGAACAGCTCGGCCAGGAAAGCCCCCACGTTCAACTGGGGGCATAGGGGGGGTCACGGGGGGCTCCCAGTATGGACCAGTATCCCCCAGTACTCCCCCAGTATCCCCCAGTACCCCCCAGACCCTCCCAGTCCCCTCCAGTTTATCCCAATTCCTCCCCTCAGGACTGGCCGCCATTTTGTCCCACTGCCCTCATTGCTTCCATTCCCTCCCAGTTCACCAAATTTCTCCCCAGTTTAACCCAGTTTATCCCAGTTTAACCCAGTTTCTCACAGTATGTCCCAGTTTATCCCAGTTTATCCCCAGTTTCCTCCCGTTTAACCCAGTTTCTCCCAGTTTCCCCCTCAGAGTAGCCGCCATTTTGCCCCATTGCCCGCAATGCCTTCATTCCCTCCCAGTTCACCAAATTTCTCCCCAGTTTAAACCAGTTTATCCCAGTTTATTCCAGTTTAACCCAGTTTCACCCAGTTTCTCACAGTATGTCCCAGTTTATCCCCAGTTTCCTCCCGTTTAACCCAGTTTCTCCCAGTTTCCCCCTCAGAGTAGCCGCCATTTTGCCCCATTGCCCTCATTGCTTCCCTTCCCTCCCAGTTCATCAAATTTCTCCCAGTTTCTCCCAGTTTAACCCAGTTTATCCCAGTTTGCCCAGTTTCCCCCAGTTTCCTACAATTTCTCCCCGTTTTTTCCCAGTTTAACCCAGTTTCTCCCAGTTTCCCCCTCAGAGTAGCCGCCATTTTGCCCCATTGCCCTCATTGCCTCCATTCCCTCCCAGTTCACCAAATTTCTCCCAGTTTCCCCCCGTTTGACCAGTTTATCCCAGTTTCTCCTAGTTTCACCCAGTTTCTCCCAGTATGTTCCAGTTTATCCCAGTTTCTCCCCAGTTTTTCCCAGTTTAAGCCAGTTTCTCCCGGTTTCCCCCTCAGGACTGGCCGCCATTTTGCCCCATTGCTCTCATTGCTTCCATTCCGTCCCAGTTCACCTAATTTCTCCCAGTTTCTCCCAGTTTGCCCAGTTTATCCCAGTTTCCTACAGTTTCTTCCAGTTTCTCACAGTTTGTCCCAGTTTCTCCCCAGTTTAACCCAGTTTAACTCAGTTTCCCCCCGCTTCTTCCACCTTCCCCCTCAGGACTGGCCGCCATTTTTCCCCATTGCCTCCATTCCCTCCGAGTTCACCAAATTTCTCCCAGTTTCTTACAGTTTCTCCCAGTCCCTCCCAGTTTCTCCCTAGTTTAACCCAGTTTCTCCCAGTTTCCCCCTCAGGACTGGCCACCATGTTCTCCATTGCCCTCACTGCTCCCAGTCCCTCCCATTGCTCCCACTCCCTCCCAGTTCATCCAGTTTGACCAGTTTCTCCAGTTTATCCCAGTTTCTACAAGTTTATCCCAGTCCCTCTCATTTTATCCCAGTTTCTCCCCAGTTTCACCCTCAGGACTGGCCACCATATTGCCCCATTGCCCTCATTGCTTCCATTCCCTTCCATGTCACCAAATTCCTCCCAGTTTGCCCAGTTTCTCCCAGTTTCCCCCACTTTATCCCAGTTTCCCCCAGTTTCTCCCAGTTTTCCCCATTTTCCCCCTCAGGGCGGCCGCCATGTTGCCCCATTGCCCCAATTGCCCTCATTGTCCCCATTCACTCCCTGTATCCCCCAATTTCCCCCACTCCCTCTCACTTTCACCCAATCCCCTCCCAGTTTAACCCAGTTTAACCCAGTTTCTCCCAGTTTTTACCTTGAGGGCCGGTGCCATGTAGAGCAGGTCCTCCACAGCCAGCGGGCAGCGCGTGCGGAGGTGGCGGGCGCCAAAGTCGCGCACGAGCCCCAGGTTGTGAAGCCGGTCCGGAAGCGCCAGCGGAGTCCCCAGGCGGATTTCTGGAAAATTCCAGAGGAAAAAAGTGGGGGTCGCACCCCAAAAACCCTCCCAGACCCCCCCATTCCATGGGGTGCCGCCTTTATGGGACTTCTCTGTACCACCCATTACAATCCCCCCATTAGGATCCCGAGTTTTCCTCTTGTTTTCAACTCATGATTCCCCCCATGGTGCCCTCAGGTTGGGCCAGTCCATATCACTGGAAAATTCCAGAAAGGGGGGGGAGTCGCACCCTAAAACAGACCCCAAAAAACCCCTCAGACCCCCCCCAAAAAACCCACAACTCTCCTAAAAACCCTTCAAAGACCCCTAGTGTCCCGCCATTGAGACCTTCCCCCATGGAACCCCCCGATTTCCCACTGGAATCCCCCCATGTCCCCCCTCAGATTGGTCCGGTCCAGCCTCCCCACAGCGCCCCCTAGCGGATTCCTGCATCAGGCCCCCCCACCCCCTTCACAGGACCCCAAAAAAACCCCCAAAAAACCCAAAATCCCCTAAAATTCCCCCAAAAATCCCTGCTTACCCTCTAGGCGCAGGGATTGGGGGCAGTAGAAGTGGATGGCGGCCGCCAGGACCCCACCGCTGGCCAAATCCTGCAGGCCCCTCACAGGTGGGAATGGGGGGGGCGCCGGAGGGGCCCCTTTGTCCTTCCGGTACCGAATCTTGGCGGGAAAAATTAAGAAAGGGGGGGTCAAGGGAGACCCCAAAATCCAAAAATCCCTTTAAATCCCCCCAAAGTGGAAGGGCTCCCCCAAAAAATAAAAAAGGGGACCCCAAAACCACCCTAAAAGTGGCAGGACCCCCCCCAAATTAGCCCCAAACCCCCCTCACAGAAAAGGGACTCCCCCCAAAAATTAAAATGGAAGAGTCCGCAAATCCTCTCAGGTTGGGGACCCCAAAATGGCCCAAAATCACCCCAAAAATAACAAAGAAAGGGGCTCAAATTGGGGGGAATCCCCCAAAATTAGAAAGGGGGGTGTCCCCAAAATCCCCCGTTTGGGGAAGGGTTGGAGACCCCCCAAAATTCCAAAGGGGGGGACCCCAAACCCTCCCAAAATGGAGGAATTCCCTTAAAAAAGAGTCAAGGTGACCCCCAACCCCCCCCCCCGCTCCCCCCCCACCTCCCAAATTCCCCAAAATTCCAAAGGGGGGGACCCCAAACCCTCCCAAAATGGAGGAATTCCCTTAAAAAAGAGTCAAGGTGACCCCAAACCCCCCCCCGGAACCCCCAAATCTCTCCCCTTAAATTCCCCTAAAAATGCCCCAAATTTGGGGGTTTGGGGTGGAATTTTTTTGGGGGGGGGGTCCTGGATTTTGGGGAGGGGTCTGGGGGTGCCCATGGTGGGGAAAAGGGGGGGTCCCCTCCCCAAATTTTGGATTTTGGGGGGGTCCTTACCACCGGAGGTTTATTCCCCGATTCCTTCAAACAGAAGGCGATGGCGTGCTGTGGGAAAAACGGAGTTAGGGGGGCCCCAAAACTCCCCCGGGGAGCCCAAAAATGAAAAAGGGACCCCCAAAAATGGAAAGAGCGGCCCAAAAAATGGGGGGGTAGGGGAAATTTGGGAAAAAATTGGAAATTTTGGGGAAAAATGGGGAAAATTTGGGAAAAAACAGAGAAAAAAGGGGGGGGGGATTTACAAATGGGGGGGGGAAATAAATTTAAAAGGGGAAAAAAAAGGAAAAAAGAGCCCAAAAATGGAAA